TGACTTTTCTATGCTTAGTTGCCATTAGTTGTAGTATTTTAGAAGAATTCCTATTTCAAAGCAGATTTGTTTTCCTAAATTAAAGGGATCCTCATCAGTTAGGTGTTTCCTGATAAGATAATAATTAGTTAGGAGTTTCCTTATAAGATAATGATGTTTACATGCCTATATAAAGGCCACAACTATGTAAAACGAAAATCATCAATAATACAGTGGTATTTTCAGCAAGCTTAGCTTTGCCTTATTGTGTTCTTGGTAGAATACAATATCTTGACTTATCAAGGGAGTGATCAACCTTTGTGGCGTCTTCAAGATTGGATTTTTTAAGGACTTATTTTCCTTAAGGTTCTAACCTAATCAACTACAACTTGTTTTCTTGTTTCTGGGTGCGCATAGCAAATTGATTCAAGAGTTCCTAGAGCTGGTCGTCTAATGGATCGACATTTTATTAGAGAAAGGGTTGCATCTCAAGAAGTATGTCTTCCATATATCACCTCCAACATGCAGCTTGCAGATCGTCTCACTAAGGCGGTTTCAAAGAAGTTAAAAGCAGATCTATGCAAGTTAGGAATGACAAACATCTATTCCCAACTTGAGGGGAGTGTAGAGAACACTAATGTGGTCCCCACTATACTATACTCGTATGACTATAGTCAACAGTTAGTTGCTAGTTGGTAGTTATTGGTAGTTATTTTAGTCAATTTATAGTTATTAGTCTTTTATTTTTTGCCATGTGGCAATAAGGGTATTTCAACCCTTTTACCTTTATTTGAGAATTAATATAAATAGTAAGAGAGGGGCGGTAGATCCATGATCCTCTCCTTTTCTAAATCTCCCTTTTGAATTCTTCTTCTCCTTTTCTCCTTTTTTTAATTTTTCTTGTTAATTGAACACTAAAATCTAGGACTGATTGTAGTCTTATTCGACTACAATAGATATATAAAATATACAAATATGGGTGTATGCAATTATGGGCTTGTTCGTTTGCTATGAAGTCTGACATCTAAAAGTGAAATAATTACGTTAAGAGGTATATTAGTATTGGTGAACTTTTCTTTCCTATGAACTCTGAATGTAGAGAATGTTGTTTTGAATTCTGAACTCTGAAAATTATCAAATATCAAATTTGACCCGAAATATGAGAGTTTTTGTTTGTCTTTTTGGTGGTATCATTGAAAAACAAAGAGTTGTATGATTGCACTTTAATAGATAAGAGATAAGAGGAAATGAATAACCATTATTCTCTTAGGCCTCGTTCGCTTTTCGGTAAGTTACTTACCTGGGTAAATGCAGTTACTTGGGTAAGATTTTCTTGGGAAACACTTACCCAGGTAAGTGTTTTTACCCATGTTCTTTTATTTTCCAACTAAAAAAAGGAAATGACCATTTTAGCCATAAAAATCCAAATGGGGCATTTTTGTCCCATTAAAGTATTGGAATCTTTCCCCCGAGTGGAAAAGTTATTTACCCACCTAAGAGATGGGTATCACTTACCCGTGCAAGTGGTACCTAGGAAAATAAACTTTCCCTAGTCCCCACATTAATATGAAAAAGGAACATGAGATTCTTGGACAATGGGAACCAAAATCCCTTTGACCAACTTTCCCCCTCTAAAAATCCTAAACAAGAACGCCCCCTTAAAGTTAAAAGATTCCTCTTAAGGGATAAGAGTTAAGAGGAAACGAACAGGTCCTAAGTACAAAAGACAAAAGGAGTGAAAGGACAAAAATATCTTACTAAGGTGGCATTTGATTGCACTTTTTAGATGTCTGAATCTAAAAATGTTGCTTTTCAGATACCACCTTTGTTTGGTGTTGTATTTGAAATAGGGCTTGAAAAGTTTTTTTTCAGATCTGAAATTTTTAGACTCAGGCCCATTACTTAACGCATTTAAACGCGTTTTAGACGTAGCCTAAATTCAAAGATACCCTTCTCCATTCGACATCTCTCTCTCGTCTTCATATAACTCTCTCTCTCCCCGCCACCGTTGCTGCAACTTGTAGCAGCGGTTCTCTCACTCATTTACTCTCTCTCTCTCCCTATCTTCCTGCTACCACCGCTACAACTTGCAACGATGGCTCTCTTTCTCTCTCCCTTGTCTTTCCGCCACCTCCATTGCAACTTGCAACGACGGTTCTCTCTCTCTCTCTCTCCCTATCTTCCTGCCACTACTGCTGCAACTTGCAACGATGGCTCTCTCTCCCTTGTCTTTCCGCCACCGCCGCTGCAACTTGCAACGACGGTTTTCTCTCTCTCTCTCTCTCTCTCTCTCTCTCTCTCTCTCTCTCACGTATCTTCCTGCCACCGCCGCTGCAACTTGCAACGATAGCTCTCTCTCTCTCTTCCCTTTCTTTCTGCCACCACCGCTGCAACTTGCAATGGCGGTTCTCTCTCTCTCTGTCTCTGTCTCTGTCTCTCTCTGTCTCTCTCTTGCTCGCTCGCTCGCTTGCTCCCTTGTCTTCCCGCCATCGCCGCTACAACTTGTAGTGGCGGTGCTCTCTTTCTCTCTCCCCTATCTTCCCACCACCGTCGCTGCAAGTTGTAGTGGCAATGCTTTCTCTCTCTCTCCCTTGTCTTCCCTCCACCGCCACCGCCGCTGCAACTTGCAATAGCGACGGTTCGATGAGTAATAATAATAATAATAATAATAATAATAATAATAATAATAATAATAATAATAATTTATAAATTATTATTATTCTTTATAAATTATTTTTATTAAATTTACTTGTATTATTTATTAATTATTAATTTTTTTATTAACTAGTAATTTTTAATTATTTCATTAATATTTAAAAATTATTTTAATTTTTATTTGTGTAAATTATTAATTAGTAATTATTAATTATTTTAATATTTTTATAGTTATTAATTATTTTTTAATTTTAACTATTTCATTTATTAATTATTAATTATTAATTTTTATTTGTATTTGTATTGTTTCAATATTATTTTGAGGTTGAAAATGATTTTTTATTAGATAATGCAAATTGAACTCAACATTACCAAATAGTATATTATAGGGGTAAAATAGTAAAATCAGTAAATTTCAGATGTTAAAGGGTTGATCCAAAATAAACAAAGTTATGAATTCAGAACCTCTAAAAAGTAGAAAAGCACATATGCTTCTTTCAGATTTCAAACAAAATATATTTTTAACTTTTCAGATCTGAAATTTCAGATTTACCAAACGCCACATAAAATTTTTGAATGACACCGAATGTTAACTATTAAAATTACCACATTCTTTTTCTCTGAGCAACTTTCATTCAAGTTTACCTTTAATAGCTCCTGAAGTCATTTGTTGTAGACCACCGGCCTCAACCGACATTGACGAAATCATTGCCTCCTAGTTTTGACCGTAGCGTTGAGAAGAATGTAGTTACACCATTTGAACCGGTTCAAAATTCTCAATTCAACCAAATTGGTCTAGACCAGAACCAGTTGAGACTTGAGACCAATCAATTTAAATCAAATTTGGCACTGTTGCTCTAATCGTAACTGCGTCTACTCGGGCATTTTTGTCTTGGCCCATAGTGGCCCATCTTTGATTTAGCCTATTAAGGCACTTTGATGGCCCACTGGTCTTTATTGGTCATTTGGCCCACATTTCAGATTGATCCATTGTGGCCTGTTTCTATCAACTTAAGAAGCCAGCCCATGGTGGCATTATTGTTGATCTTCTAAGGTCTTATTTTTGGGCCTGTTTTGGCCCATGTTGTCCCATTGATGGTTTTTGTGATCCTCTTGGAGTCTCTTTCTTGAAGAAGCAGTATTTGGAGCTTTAGATACAGCTGGAAGATTTAGACACATCATCATCACCTCCTTACCATCATTACAGCTGGAAGATTTAGACACATCATCATTATTTGGAGCTTTAGATACATTATCATATTGTAGCAGTTTTGTCAATTACTTGCAGATCATTGATCTCATGTCTTTGAGGGAATGTGTTAGGGAATGAGGATATGAGATACAGATGAAGATAAGATATGTTTGGGTGGTTGAGATAAGATTGTAATGTAATGTTTGAGTTGGTTTAGGATACAAGAGATTGAGTGATTTTTGGATTTATCCATCTCAGTCAATAAATGGATATATTTTTCTTATAGTTAAGTAATGAAATTTTTTATACATTTTTCTGATGTTTTATAGGTTGTGGGTAGGGACGACTGGCTCAAAAAATGTCAACATCTCCAGTGTAAATCATGGTCCATATATTTTATCCTCATGTAATAATCACAACGTAGCATTTCTTCCATCCAAAAAGAGATAACCCCAGTTGAGTCAAGGTTTTGTAGCTGAATCAGTTTGTAATTGGTGGTTATAGAAAACATGTAACCATGGTTAGTAATTCTTTTATTAGCTTGATGGGACCAATAGATTCAAGATTTTCTGTGGTAATAGAGTTGAAAAAATTTATATAGGAGTTACTTGAGTAACAGATTATTGCACAACTGTGGTTCTACCCTCAAGTGAAGGAACTTCAGTTCAGGAACTCGATCAGTAATGAATTGATATACTTCAACCGTAGAATAATCCACCAGTAGAGTGATTGCTATGCAATATTTATCTGTTGCACTGAATTATCTGACTTGAAAATTTCTATTATATATATGTGATTTTCAAAACATATGATTTTAATTAAATGACATAATTAATTCATTCCAAATCTCTCATGTCTTTGCTGTAAAGAACCTTAGTTGGGCTTCAAAATTCTGAAAGTGATATTGATACTATGTCTAGTGATTGCCGAGAGCACTTAAGCTTTCTTTCTTTCAAATTCTGAAAGTGATATTGATACTATGTCCAGTGATTGCCGAGAGCACTTAAGCTTTCTTTCTTTCAAATTATTGAAGTTCCTTCAAATTAGCTAATTGACAGTACAGTATTACACACTGCAAACTAGACAAACAACAATACCATTATAGCTTCTATTTTATTACCTTTACTTTGACCCTTATTCTAGACCTAAGAACTCTTTCATTATCTGCATCTAGTTTCTATAATCCTTTATTCCACCAATAGTAACTGACTGACTTCATTTCTTTTCTGAAACTTGAATATGGAAACCATTAGGGAATGATGTTGCAGGATTTCCAACTATTTCTCCTCCCTTGATTCTTTTCCACCTGTACTTTGTGACCAAGAAATGAAGAAACATCTCCATCAACATCTTGCTAAAGTCTGCTCCTGCACATAGTCTCATTCCTCCACCAAAAGGGTTGAAATTCTTGGACCAAGTGTTTGCTCCACAGCCCTTTTTGAAGAGGGAAAATATATGATTATAATCCAAGTCTAAAATATGAAACCTGGCCAGTATCTGTATTAACAATCAAATTTGAGCCAAAGTATGAAGAAATACACAAACATACCTCCCATCTCCATGGATTGTAAGCAAGGGGATCTTTATATTTGCTAGGGTCGAAATGAAGAGTTTGTGGACAGATCATGATTGTCCAGCCTGCTGGGATTGTATATCCTGCACAAGAATTTATGCATAGTTTATTAAATTAAATGTTTGATGTGGAAACAGAGAGAAACCACTGGGTTTCAGATCTAAATGAACAAACCTTTTACTTGGATGTCTGTAAGTGCTCTTCTGAAAATCCCAGGGGCAACGTTGGACAGTCGGAGTACTTCGTTGATAACCTGTCATTTCAAAGGATGAACAAATTGAATAGAACCATGCACCAACTAGGAGAAAAATGAAATACATTTAGATCACATTCATGCACTAATTACTTGAGACGTGAAGGTCATAGATTTGTATTCCTCCCATGTAATTGCAGAGTCTGCAGTTTCTCTACTTCTAAGTATTGCTTCATGCTCGTCCTGATGACAAAAGATCACGGACAAATGTGAGAGAGAGAGAGAGAGAGAGAGAGAGAGATGGTGGCACCACACGGACCGTTAATGCCATCAGCACTTGAGGATGGTCCGTGAGAAACTTAATGGCTAACGTTAGTGTTAAGGAAGTTGTCTCGAAGCTGGCAAACGTAAGCAGAAAGATAAGTTGAACAATAGCCTCCTCTGTTAAGAAGGCTCCCTCTTTCTCCATCTCTTCAATGAGCTTATCCAGGAAATCCCCTTTTATTCTCTTTGGTTGATTGCGTCTCTCCTTGATCAAATTCCTAAGCATCTTTAACACGTTCTCTCGTGCCTGCAGAACAAGCAGATTGATCGAGGAGCCATGCACGATCAGTAACAAAAGATAACAAAAAACGAATTAAATGATGATCAAGAGATTTTCAGTTACCTTGAGACACTTATAGAAAGTAGTACCAGGAATGTTTAAAGGGAAGGAGATAAGACCTTCCCAAAAGTCGGCAAACTTGTTCTTAATGATATTTTCTGTTGAATTCGATAAGTCAAAGCTAAATAGCTTTCTTGAGCCGAAATCAAAAAACATCTGTAGATGGAAACAGATGAAGTCAAAAACAAAGTAAAAAAGCAGTAATCATTCTCAATGGTTTCCTGGGTATCACAAAATTTACATCTTCTGTGGATTTTTTGACTTCAATGGCTTCCTGGGTAGACCAGAAGTGCAGTGTTTGACGTGCCATTTCTGCCACTTCAGGAACCATCTTTTTGAGGCTCTCGGGACCGAAGTAACTCAGAACCAAGTTTCTAAGGTGCTTGTGAATGGAAAGAGAGGCAGAGGTAGTAAGAACTTGATCACCAAGAAGCTTCATAAAGGAGTCCATGTACCACAATTCAACCAATTTCCCTTCTTGCTGTAAGATGTAATGGTTGAACTCAGAATCTGTGGATACTATAACTGGACGACCCACCAAGTTGGTTTTGAACAATGACCCATACCTGCATATATATTCATGAAAGAAGGAAGAGGTTAATTCGAGTGCTAGCTATAGCTAGTTTTCATCTATTTATGCAGGGATTTTGCGTCCAACTTAATTATAAGATTACCGTTTTATTCTCTCCTTGAGGAAAGGAGGAATATCGAAGGAGTAGTGGGGACTGAAAAACTGGAGGGTCTCTCCAATAAGTGGCAACCCCATGGAACCTGGGGGCAGTCGTCCAGTACTGCATTTGGGGTTCCTCCATTTCTGCACTAAATGGACAATGCAGATTATCAAGGACGCTGCGACACATAAACTAACAGATACCAACATTTCAGCCATGAAGAGAGAGAGAGAGAGAGATTGCTGGGGTGCGTTTGATGAGCAAACCAAGATCTTTAAATAGACAAACCATCGAATCTAACGTGACGGCGACTGTCATGAGACTGTTCAAATTCCCGTAATACGCTGCCATAGGTGAAGGGCAAAAGAGTAATTGCATTCAAGAATCGACCAAAAAGGACAAAAAGGGGTATAAATGGGTTGACGTGTCATAGCCGAACCCTTTTGTTTATAGGAAAAGTTGACTGAAAAGTTATAATTGGGACTCACTCTCTCACAGAATTGATAGTAATACCACATAAGGGAATCTTTAATAGTAAAATTCGCTTATCTCGGTACAAAATGTAAGGTTTTGTTGTAGAATTTTTTTTCCCTTGAAATGACTTTTATTTAATAGTAAGAAAGACTTTTCATTCTTACTCTGAAAAGCAAACTTCTAATATCTGTTTTATTAAAAGGTGCCAACCAGCTCAAGTGGTAAGATTTCCGACTGGTTGTAGCAAAGACTTGGGTCAAATTTCGACAATAATGGGGAGGTCATGGGTTTGGGGGATGGGCTAGACGGCTAACTAAAAAGAAAAGAAAATGGCTCATTTGGTTCAAGGGAATCAGGGTCTGAAATCTGAATTGAAATGGGACATTCCAATTTCAACTTTTTTGTTGGGTGGAATCAGAAGTCGATTCCTATTCCCTGTGGAATGACATTCGTCCATTTGAGGGAATGGTCATTCCCTCCCCCTCCCTTGGGAATGGAATCCTATTTTAGTCCATTTTATTTTTCATTTAGATTCCTGTCTGAACCAATCTGATTATGGGACTAGACTGATTGGATTCTAATTTCAAGGGATTTCAATTCCAATTCCGACTGTGAACCAAACCAAACTCTAAATATTAATATGGTGAAGTAATGAGAAAATGAGAGACCTTGACTTTGACTTTTACTCAAACACATTTAAAATCATGAATATCCAACAACCATTTTTGATGAAATTGTTGGATTTTAATCTCATAAGAGATTAAATCCAATGCGTTTGATTGGTCAATTACATGAGAAATTGCACCAGCACACTTGATTGAAAAATTAGCTTCTCTCTTACAAAACCCAGTTTTGAATTTGTCCCACATTGGAAAATTATAAGCTTTGTTTTTAGTATTTTAATAGGAGCTAATTTACACTCCTTAGAAATAGTAGTGGAGAGTATGGGGGTTTGATACCGCGCAACGTGCGCGCACGCGTGTGCGTGCGTGTGTGCGGCGCAGTGAGGCGCTTTAGAGGCACACTTTGCTCGCACTTCGTGCGCACCCGCGTGGCTCACGAAGGGCGGCTTTGGTTTTGGTGCGATGCTGACCATTGATCACCGTTGATGAGATCAACGGTCACGAATTGATCGGGTGTGATCAAGAGGCACAATTCAAAGTTAACAGTCATTAACTGTTAACTACTTTTTAAACAATCATAATGTTTGAAATTGTGACTGTTCAATGTGCCTTCTCTGAACCAGCACCTACCTTTTCATCATAACTCTTCATAAACTATTTAAGGAGCATGAATCAAACTTCAAAAACACATAATTTCGAAATCCACTTTCTCTCTCTCTCTCAGTCCGGTCTGCTACAATCTCACAGAAGGTTTCTTCGGAGATTCTTCAACTTTGCTGGTTGCAGACTCTCGCCCAAGGCTTTGTTGTATCCTGGGAATGGATTTTCCTGTAACCCAACAACAAACTCGGTGAAACTAAGTGGGGCAAATAACATTCTAAAGGCAGTGTCTTCAGACGCGCCTCAGAGCTTCTCCTCCAAAGTTATAGTGACCCCATTTTCCAACAGAAATGACGTTCCTCCATTTGAGAGAATGGTCATTCCCTGCCTCTCCCTTGGGAATGAAATCCCATTCTAGCTGATTCCAATTCTCATTTTGATTCCTATCTGAACCTATGAGAATAGATTATTCTAATGCTAATTCCAAACCAATTGTGAAGCAAACTGACCCGAAGAGGAGTTTTAATCACTTCATTTGCCACTCTCTGATTCCAAGTATTAATATCACGATGTAATGGCAAAATGGGAGACCTTGACTTTGACTTTTGCTCAAGCACATTTAAAATCATGAAGTGAACAAGTGACCAAGAAGTATTTGGATTTGCTGGTTGCAGATTCTCGCCCAAGGCTCTGTTGTATCCTGTGAACGGATTTGCCTATAACCCAACAGCAAACTCGGTGAAACTAAGTGGGGCAAATAACGTTCTAAAGACAATGTCTTTAGACGCGCCTCAGAACTTCTCCTCCAAAGTTACAGTAACCCTATTTTCCAATAGAAATGACGTTCCTCCATTTGAGAGAATGGTCATTCCCTGCCTCTCCCTTGGAAATGAAATCCCATTCTAGCTGATTCAAATTCTCATTTTGATTCCTATCTAAACCTATGAGAATAGACCATTCTAATGCCAATTCCAAACCAATTGTGAAGCAAACTGACGCGAAATGGAGTCTTAATCACTTCACTTGTCACTCTCTGATTCCACGTATTAATATCATGATGTAATGGCAAAATGGGAGACCTTGACTTTGACTTTTGCTCAAGCACATTTAAAATCGTGAAGTGGACAAGTGACCAAGAAGTATTAATATCATGATGTAATGGCAAAATGGGAGACCTTGACTTTGACTTTTGCTCAAACACATTTAAAATCGTGAAGTGGAACTTCATAAGAAATTTCTTATGCAGTTACATTTTGCTAAGTACTAAGCGAATGATCAAAACAGATAATCATTCATTGTGTTTAGTGGTTTTCATAATTAATAGTTGAAAAATCCGTTTCTTTTAGGATGCTGAAAAGTAGAAGTCACCCACGGGAGAAAAATAAAAAGGAACCAGGCCCAATGCAGTTAACCCACATATATCCTCGAAATTAAAGGCCAGATAACAACTCGGGCCCACCCACCCAACACAAGAAACTGAACCCCCACTGCGCCAATCACCTTCTTGTGAGAAAAGGGCAATCACCAGAGCAAAAGCAAAGCGACAGACCTACATAAACCCCCACAGGATTATACAGATCCGTCACTTCTCTCTCCCAGGCCCCAGCCACCCCTTCTCTAACACTCTTCGTAACCCCCACCCTTTATTTTTACCATACATCGACATATCAGGGAATTCCTCAAACATTTTCAAAAAAGAAAAAAAAAAAAAGACCAGGACTCAACAAACTAAAATAATAAAGATATAAAACATACTATAAGAGGAAAGTTTTTTTTTTTTTTTTAAAAAAAAAAAACTCTTTTGGAAGACAAAATGATGGAATTTGAGCCTAAAATCTGTAAATGAATCTCTTAGAATATTATATTAAAATGTAATGCTTGTGAAGATGATCGTTTTAACATATTATATGCCAAAAACGGATGTCTGAATCAAAAGTTATGGCTGTTTAAAGTTTTAGCCTAAATTTGAGAGTATTTATTTGGAAAATAAGTGCTTATAAACATTTGGTGAAAAAGCGGGTAATATAGCCGTATAGGTATTTTGGAAATGATGCATCAGGCCAAGATTTGTCATAAAAGAAATAAACGCTTATTGAATGAACACTTAAAAATAAATCCAAATTTTGGGCTTTTCGAATAAGTGTTTATTCTCATAATAAGCACTTATTTCCCCAAAACAAATAAACACTTATTGGTGAAGTACCGCCCTAAATAAGCATTTATTTTTAAATGGGAAAATCCAGGCCCAACTCGGGCCCACCCACCCAACACAAGAAATTGAACCCCCATTGCCACCATCCACACCTTGTCAAAAAAGGCCCATCACTAGAGCAAAAACAAAGCAACAAACCTACATAAATCCCCACAACATTATACAGATTTTCCACTTCTCTCCTAGGGCCCAGCTACCCTTTCTCTAATAATCTTGTTCCCCTATCCTTTATTTTTTATTTAGTTAATTGCCTTACTATTTGAAAATTGATTGACTGTTTTTGACAATTGATTAACTCTTTCCTAATCATTAACATCATAATATTTCATCAAAACTCATATACAGATGACATTTAAAATTCTTTTAAAACCCAATATTACCCCTCCCTTGTCCTCTTCTTCCTTCCAATAGTGGCAAATAAGGGTGTTCACGGGTCGGGTTGGGTCGGTTTATTGGGGTTTTCCCAATTGACCCGACCTGGTCGGGTTATTTGAGGTGGAAACCAAAACCAACCCACTGATAGGCCAAACCAATATGGTCGGTTTGAGTCGGGTTGGGTCGGTTTGGGTCGTTTTCGGTTTTGCTCCTGTACAAAAGGACACCTAATTGAATTCTAATTGTAATTGCCTAATGGGTTGCCTATTTGGTGTAAAAGATTATACAAAGTTAGAAACTATGATAGATTGCCTATTTTAATTGTAATTGCCTAATGAGCCTTCTAGTTCTAGTAGAAGACTAGTTATAGTTAAGTAGGAAACTACTCAAACTAGGAACTACCGAACTAGTAGAAGACTAGTTCGATTCAGGTCGGGTTGGTTTCGGTTTTCACACAATAAAACCGAAACCGATCCAATAATATCGATTTATATATTTTTCCAACCCAAAACCGACCGGTACTAATGAAAACCCGGCCGACTCGAATTGACCGATTTGATCGGATTGGACATTCTTATGAACAGCCCTAGTGGCAAACCGAACTTGAATAACTAGCGGCGGGGATAACCCCATCCACCTTCAGCCCCTCATTGCCGTTGCAATTTTTTCTCGGATACTGAAAATTGAAAGAGTAAAACGTAGAGCGATATATGAAGAAATGGTCCGTGTTGACGGGTGAAAGAGTAAAAACGTTGCACACCAACCATCTGGCTTAGTCTGTATCATCCATTACCATTTCTTATTAAAACTTCATTAAGAGTGAAAAAGAGACACATTCTCCAAGAACACTTGTTGATCTTTTGACCCTCGTTGTCATTCAGCCAGTGATGAGAAGGAGAGAAGATGGTAAGTCAACTAAGTTTAGTTCAAGCGACAGGACAATTCATCTT